TAAAATACAACAATAGTAGCATGTCATATTATATACTCTATTGTATAAAATTTTATTTTTGGTTATGAGCCTAGCCTTTAATGGCTGAGCCACCTCTCTAATGCCTAATTTCAAAAATCATTCTACACAAAGTGCCTAAATTTAATTTCCTTACACAATGGATTAAGTAATTTTAATGTAATGAATTCAGTTAATTAAATTATTTGTTTTTCATAAATTAGGAGGTTAAAGATTGGGAGGAAAGGAAAACGCAAAAGTGGCTTGCAGCACAGGAAGTCATTGTATACTATCTAGCCCAATGGGATGCTCAAGAATATGTTCATTTACAAATGTAACCACTTGAAGAAAAACAGCAACAGTGGTATTACATTCCACGTGTAATTCTGAACAACTACATATCTTAGTCCTCACCACAATCCTTTAAAGTGCCAAGACCTTTTCCTTTTGAAAGGCAGAAAAACTAGATCATGTAAAGTTAAGTATTTTTGTCTGTTTCCATACCTAGAAATGGTGACTGATGACTGGAAATCAAACAGCTATTTGTTTAAAATATATGGGTATGAAACGCAGAAAATATGAAAAAAAAAGTTCAGACTCGGCATCAGTATGTAGTATTTAATATCTCAAATTGACAAATCCATAAACTATGCGCTACTTAGACCTGTATAGCTACTACAGTAGTTACTAGGAAAATGAGACACAGGAGGCGGATGTGTTAGGTATCCGCTGCAGGTGGGGCCACATTCCGAGAAATGCCTGGTTAGGCAGTCCTAACTGTGTATAAACATCACAGTTACATCTGTGTATAAACACCACAGATTCCTCTGTATTTGCTATGGGTCCTTATGGACTTTGGGTAGTGTCATTTGCTTCAATGGAGTGGATGCCTAAACCGATTACATAACTACATTCTTGTTCTTTATGATTGTAGCCAGGACTCAATGGGACATGCTTAACTGGCAAGAAATAACCAGCACTGATGTTCTCACCTTTGTGGTTTTCAATCATCTTACTTTTTATTTTTCTAGGCGTTACCCCTCTTGTTTTCAACATGAGCAGTCGATTTTGCATGCTCAGGAGCTACACCAAGAAAATACAAGATTAAAGTGAACATAAGGGGAAAAAAAGGTGAACAAAATATTTGAGGTTGTTTTTGAATAGCACAGCATATTGTTTCTAGTAGTCATTTAAAACACTTATTTTATTTGATTTCTTTTCTTATTTTAAAAAATCATTGTCAACTGATATAAACCTCAGTTTAACACACCTTTAAAAATATTTATTTTTATTTATGTGTATTTGTGTTCTCCTTGCATGTGTGTCTGGGCATATCTGAATATATATATATACACTCAGTGCTCCCAAGAGGCCAGAGAAAGCATTTTATCCCCTGGAACCAGAGCTACAGATGTTTGTGAGCTACATGTAGGTGCTGAAAATCAATCCTGAGTCCTCTGGAAGAGAAGCCAGGATTCTTAACAGCTGAGCCATTTCTCCGGCCCCCATAACTTGATCTGAAGCCAGAAACCCAGAGTAACTGTAAGACTGAGAAACAAACACCGTTCTGGTGGTCTATAACCTGTCAGACTGAGGCAACAGCAACCAAAGAACTGAACACCTACCCAACAAAGGCAAGACCAGTTTTATTCACACCAAGAAATACTGCAAATGATATAACTCCAGACTCCTAGATCCCAGCTCAAAAACATAAACATGAACAACCATGACAATATGCCTTCTCCAGAAACCAGCACACCTA